GGCGCCCGCGGCGGCCCCCGCCGGCCCCGCCCGCGTGACGTCACTCCTGAGGCCCCACCTCTCCTGCACAGCGCCACCTGGCCCCCGTAGGTGCCCCAGTCGGGGGCAGAAGCCTGGGGAATCATCAGTCTGCCGTTTACAAATGGGGAAACTGAGGCCTGGAGGCAGGGGATATAGCTGGGCTATAAGCCCTCTTGCCTGAACCCCCAGAGCTGGTGGTGCTTGGTGCGAAGTGTAAAACGAACAATACTCAAGGGTCCAGATGACCAGGTGAGCCAATCAGCCTTCCCAGCCTTTGTCCAAGCCCCATGCCCTGCCTCGGGGCCGCCCTGACCTCACCTCATGCTCCTCGGACATGTGCTGACATTAATTCTCCTCTGCAGAATCGAGTCACTGCTCCGGCTCACCCCGGGAGCCCTTGAGCCCGGGCCCACCTGGGTTAGAACTGTTTCTCTGTGTGTCTGTATCCTCAGGCTGTAAGTTCTTTGGGAACAAGTGTAGACTTCCTCGTATTTCTGTGACTCACTAACTCAGCCAGGTCCAGAACAGCATTTCAACACGCAGGTATTCAACTGATTAAGAACTCCAGTTCTGTGTGACCTTGGGCAAGTCCTTTCTCCTCTCTGGTTCTCAGCTTTTCCATCTGTGAAATGGGAGGGGTGGTGCTTCTGTGTGCCACCCGCACTGCAGTCAGCAAACTTTTTCTAGTAGATGTTTTAGGCGTATTAGGCATAGCCCTTTCAAATGTAAAAGCCATTCTTAACTCGTGTTGTGTAAAACAGGTAGCAAGACTCCTGCACTAGAGAAACCCTTGCAAATGTGCACAAGGAGCCTGACCAAGGTCTTGATGGCAGCAGTGATGTGAGGGCAAGAAACTGGAAATAGCCTACAGGTCCACCAAGAGGAGGATGGAGCCCTAACCGGTTTGGCTCAGTGGCTAGAGCATCGGCCTGCGGACTGAAAGGTCCCGGGTTCGATTCCGGTCAAGGGCATGTACCTTAGTTGCAGGCACATCCCCAGTGGGAGGTGTGCAGGAGGCAGCTGATCGATGTTTCTCTCTCATCAATGTTTCTGACTCTCTGTCCCTCTCCCTTCCTCTCTGTGGAAAATTGGTAAAATATATTTTTTTAAAAAAAGAGCTGACTCATGGATGGCACTTAGTGCACAGAGCTTGCATGTATAAGTGATCAATCTGAGGTTGCCATTGCTGCTTTAAAAAACACACACACAACAACAACAAAAAATAAATTAAAAAATAATAAAGACACATTAAAAAAAAAGAATGAGGCGTGCAAATGGCATGAAACTACCCCCAACATATCACTGAGTGGAAAAACAAAGTGACAAATGCTACATAGGATATGGAAACAATCAAGGAAACACCATATACATGGGTGTATATGCAGAATCAAAGGTCTGGAAAAAGCCACTCCCAACTCATGGCAGTGGTTACCAACAGGATAGGGAATGGGATTGTAGAGTAGTCGATGGTCATAGAATTCTCAAGCCTCATCCTGAAAATGCCAAGTTCGAGCCCTAGCCAGGCTCAGTTGGTTCGAGTGTTGTCCCAATACACCAAGGTTGCGTGTTTGACCCCCGTCAGAGCCCATAAAAGCATCAACCAATACATGCATTAATAAGTGGAACAAAAAAATCAATGTTTCTCTCAAATCAATACTTTTTTTTTTAAGAAAATACCAAGTTTGATCCTGTCTCTAGGATTTCGCACTGGTCTGCCTTGGGACACTTCCCTGGGGTGTTTATTTGACTGGCTGCTTCTCTGTCAGATCTCTGTTCATTGTCCCCTCCTCAGACTGATCCATCGTCTAAAGCATCCAATCCGAGGGGCTGAGGGGTGGGGATGGAGAAAGACTTCTCATTTTATTTATTTATTTATTTGTTTGTTTGTTTGTTTAAAATATATTTTTATTGGTTCCAGAGAGGAAGGGAGAGGGAGAGAGAAAGATAGAAACATGATGGAAGAGGGAATCATTGATTGGCTGCCTCCTGCACTCCCCCCACTGGGGATCAAGCCCGCAACCCGGGCATGTGCCCTTTGCAGGAATTGAACCTGGGACCCTTTAGTCTGCAGGCTAAGGCTCTATCCACTGAGACAAACCAGGTAGGGCAAGATTTCTCATAGCTTTTTGTACCCTTAAGGGATCTATTACCATTAAAAAAAAAAAAGAATGACAATTTTAAAAAACCAAAGTAGCCTTTCTTACCACATCCCTCTGTTTTATTTGCCTTGAGACACTTGTCAGTGTCTGAGGTGACCTTGTTTATCGGTTCCCTTGTTTGCCCACACACACTAGGACAGTGTTTCTCAACCTGTGGGTTGCGACCCCTTTGGCGGTCGAACGATCCTATCACAGGGGTCGCCTAAGACCATCCTGCATATCAGATATTTACATTATGATTCATAACAGTAGCAACATTACAGTGATGAAGTAGCAACGAAAATCATTTTATGGTTGGGTCACCACATGAGGAACTGTATTCAAAGGGCCAGAAGGTTGAGAATCACTGCCCTAGGAGGTGGGCCCCTAGAATAGACAGGAATCTCGGTGAGGCCCCCTGGCTGATGGCTCTGAGCAGGTGCCCAATATATTTGCCAAATGACTGGGCAAACGGTGTTTGGGGTGTGTTTTTTCTATAAGAAAAATGTATTGAATTATGTAATTCAAATTGCATAATAACATCTCCCCTAGCTCCTCCATTACAGATGAGAAATGGAAAGGGGAGAGACGGTTATTGAACTGCGTTATCTTTCAGGATCCGTTCAGCTCTAAACATTTGGTTTTAGGGTGTGTTTTTCCATCTAGATGGTGAGTGGAATTCCCCCTCTTGTAAGACTTTTTTGTGAGAGGGAAGTAGGAGAAGGGGAAATAAACCGTCTGAGGTTCCTCCATCAGCTCTTCTTCCTTCCGCTGTTCTTTGTAGCTGAGGAAGGAGAGGTTTCTAAGTTCCCTTAGGGCCCCAAAGAACAACAGGGGGACCCCTAAGGACGACAGCTGTCAGGCCTGAAGTCCAAGGCAGAGCTTGAATGGGTGCCAGTGGCCTTCCCAGCCCCGTTCTGCACCTTCTGTAACATAGACACCCCTTCTAGTCTCTCAGTATCTACTCCCCTATATTCTGGAAACTACCACTATTTCCCTTTGGGAGGACCAGCATCCCCCATCTCTCAATCCATCGGGTTTGGATGCACTGGACCCCCAACCCTAAGCTCTAGGGGTGGGCTTGTGACCATGGTCTGGCCAGTCAGAGACACAGTGACTGGCAGGCATGTGACCCAGGGCGGCCGATGAAAACCAGCTCTGGAGCCATTGCTGCAACTCCTGGGAAACCGGTGCCTTCTTTCCACGGAGGATGGTAAGCTCATGGGGTGTGAGCCTGGAGCTGCAAGTCTCTGCTCCCTGGAGCTCAGACCCTGCCTGGGCACGAAGCCAACTCCGAGGAAATAAAACTAAGAGACAGTTCCTGATGACATCATCTGACAACTGGACGCAGTCATGCCTTAAGTCCCCGAACTCTTCAATTACATGGCCCAGTAAATTCCCTGTTTTGCTTTCCCAGATTGAATTGAGTTTGTCACTCACAACTCAAAACAATTCTGACAAATACCTCCTCCTGCTGCTCAGAAACTAGCAACAGCCGCCCTCCTCTAAGTGGGAATAACCAAACTCTCTTTTCTGCTATGGGAAAGCCTCTGACCCCGGCTTCCTCCTTCCCGTTTCCACCTCACCCCTGCCTTTATGTGGCCCGCCCACCGCCTCTTTGGACATCTCCAGTTCTCTTAGGCTGCCTGGGCCCAATGCACAGCCTCTCTCCAAGACCCAGGCCATCCTCAGGGATCTCTTGGCCCGGAGTGCACTCAGGCCTGGTCCACAACATTCCTTGAAAGCTTCTGCCTTATTCCTGGATGGAGGGGGTGGTGCTTGGAATGATGGGGCTTTACAGAGCATTGCAGGGGCTCATTTCTTGGCGGGGGGGGGGGCAGTCTCTTCTGCTCTGCTTCCCCACCGTGATACCTAGCACAATGCTTCAAGCCAGGAGTGAGGATGTATTAATATACCAGGCGAGTCCCTTGTCCCCTCTGACCTCAATTTCCCTGTCCCTAAAGGAGGTGTGTGGGGCAGGGGAGGGTCTGGATTACATGTTTCCAAGAGAAACATTCAAGAACAGAGGGTCCTTACCGCCCAGCGCTGCCCTGAGGCCTGGAAGAGCTGAGAATAAGCTTCAGCGATGACAGCGGCCCTGGAGAGCAGAGTGGGGGGGCGGGGGGGGCCTCAGGACGAGACCCTCCTCTGGCCACCTCGCCCCCATCCTACCCCCTCCTACCTGACTCACATGCAGTACAGCCCTCCCCCAGGAGGTAAATCCGGGATGTCCTCAGAGGCCAGAGTCCTGAACACCTTGTTCAGGCTGGGGGGCTCCTGGGCAGAGGAACACGGCGCTGAGAAGAAGGCAAGGATTATGGGGATGCCCCTGCCACCACCCTTCCCGCTGAGCTTCTAGAGCTTGCGGCCCAAGGCTGCATCAGGCATGGGGGCCTTCCTCCTTGCAAGGCCTGGGGACCCCCCCGGGGAAGCAGACCAGGATGCAGGTCATGTTGTCCAGGCTGCCCTGAAGAAGGTGGAGAAACGAGAGTATACAGTAGTGGGACATGATTGAATGTCGCAGCGCGCGGCCCCACGCTCTCGGAAGCAGAGCTCCCCAACAATCCCTGAGTTCTTGTGTGGGTCTCCCCATTTCTTTCAAGCCCCGCCCATCTGCCAGTCTAAACCATGCCATCTCACAGGGACAGATCCCTTAGGCCACACCCCTTACTGGTCTAGCCCCGCCAGCGCTAAGAGAACCACGCCCCTTCCCCAAAGCTCCTCCCACTCTAGCTGCTCCTCCTGGTCCTAATCAGACCTCAAGACCCACTCCGCCCGGCCTGTGTGGCTCAGTGGTTGAACATTGATTTATTAACCAGGAGGTCATGGTTCAATTCCCGTTCAGGGCACATGCCCTGGTTTCGGGCTTGATCCCCAGTAGCGGGTGTGCAGGAGGCAGCCGATCAATGATTCTTTCTCATCATGGATGTTTCTATCTCTCTCTCCCTCTCTTAAAAAAAAAAAAGACCCACTCTGGGCCCTGACTGGGTAGCAGCTCATTTGGTTAGAGCATCAAGGTTGCGGGTTCGATTCCCAATTAGGGCACATACAAGAGTCAACCAATGAATGTATAACTAAATGGAATAATAAATTAATGTCTTTCTCTTTTCTTATCTTTCTCCAATCAATAAATAAAACTGAAATTAAAAAAACAAGACCCACTCCTATGACCCAGGGCCCTCCCACCCAAAAGACCACGCCCTTTCTCTTAAACCCCTCCCACTTATTTATTTAGCACTTCAAGTACCACTTTTCCATCTTGCTTCAAAGCAGCCCTCCGGCTCTGCCCTCTCCATATTTTGGCCCTGCCCCATTCCAGCAGAAGCCTTTTAGTGGAACTCCACCCCCTGTTTAGTTTTACTCATGCCTCTCCATTAAAGCCCTTCCGCCCTAAAACCATTAGGCTCCTCGCCCCAAGCCCCACCCCAGGACCTTGCACAGGCACGTATCCAACAGCTGCGCGCAGAGAAGCGCACGGATACGCTCGCGTTCCCGGAGCCGGAGGGGTCGATGGCCCTCGGTGCTGAAGGCCACAGCTCCAGCGCGGCTCAGCACCGCGCGAGAGTCACCGCAGTGTGCCAGGTACAGAAAGTGCGGGGAGACGAGTAACACCACCGCGGTAGAGCCGTCTGGTTCGCCGCGGGGCCAGAGCGAGCGCAGGCGTGCGTCTGCGCTCCAGAAAGCCAGGCGGAGGGTCCCACGCCAAGAGCACGTGCCGGGGCAGGTGGCGCGCGCCGAAGAGGGCTGCTCGCGCTCCGCCTGGGCCGTCGAGGACAGCCAAGAGGACAGCCAAGAAAGCCCAGCCCTGGGGCAGCCCGGGTAACGCGAGCCAAGCGCAATGCGCGTCCTCCATGCGCGCGCGCCGACCTGCGCTGCGCTCGCTCCGAAGCGCAGGCCCCAAGAGGCTGCCTCACCCCGGTGCGGCCGCTGAGCGCATCGCGGGGCGTCCAGGAGGAACCGAGGCGAGGCGAGGCCCTTTGGGAGCCCTGCGCCCCTCCTCCTCCTCCTCTGACCCCTCCTCCTTTTGCGCTGGCCTGAGCAGACGCTCCGCAGGCGGGCAAGGGCCGCCGTCCTTCAGTCTTGGGATCAGGAAGGCTTCACCCTCTGCACCTGCCCCCCCTCCCACTGCATTAATCCCCTCCACTGTGAGATTTTTTTAAATATATATATTTTATTGATTTTTTACAGAGAGGAAGGGAGAGAGATAGAGAGTTAGAAACTTCGATGAGAGAGAAACATCGACCAGCTGCCTCCTGCACATCTCCCACTGGGGATGTGCCCGCAACCCAGGTACATGCCCTTGACCGGAATCGAACCTGGGACCTTTCAGTCCGCAGGCCGACGCTCTATCCACTGAGCCAAACCGGTTTCGGCCACTGTGAGATTTTAAATCACGAAATCTCCTTGATCTGCACTCAAGTCCAGTCACTCAAAGAGATTTGACTACTGAGTCTTCCTTTGTCTCGCACCTTCAAAGGGAGGTTTGGGGTCAGGGTCAGGGAAAAATAATAGCAAAGTAGCATTCACATTCACCATGTGTTACACACTATTTTACATCATCATTTCCGGTTTACAGAAGAGGAAACTGAGTCGCAGAACCAGCTGGGACACGAGCTGTAGAATCCATGTTCTCAACACTATATTCTTGGCTTCAGTCCCCACCCGCCCTGCTCCATCCAAGCTCAGTGGTCTCGCCCCCGTTTTTAAATCTTTAAATCCTTTATTTTTTTAGTTCGACCTCTCCACTTCGGGATGTCGAATCCGGACTTCTGATGCTTCCTTTCCTGCTCCCGCCACTCATGCAATCCCACAGCCTCAAACTCTTAATCGTCTCCGTCCTGGCCCCACCTCTAGCCCCGCCTCGTCACTGCAGGCCGGCCCAGACATTGCGCCAAAGCGCGCCTCCTCTCTGCGGGTTACGCCCACCTCCTAGGCCACGCCCCCCGTGCCTGGCCTCCTATTCTATTACCTTTATATCACGCCTCTAGGTCCTCTGTCTCTGACTGACCCCGCCCAACTATCGGAATACGTAATTATAAATCGGCTTAAGCCCCACCCTTGTCTGAGCTCCTCTCCTGGTCTCAAAACTTTCTGGGTATTTTCTATCCCTCCCTTTCCCACTCCCTCTGAAAATCCAGACTCAAATCCTGCTTCTCCTCAATTCCACCCCTAACTCCGCTCCTCGGAGATCCACTACCCACCGTTCTTTCCCGAGCCCCTCACCCCACCCTAGGCTCCGCACCTCTTCCCCTACAGGCCGCGCCCCCTTCCATCTAGACTCCGCCCTTTCTTTTACCATCTTGTCCGTCCCATACCCTATCCTCAAGCCCCACTCTAGTACAAAAGCCACGCCCTCCTCCCGGTTTTGCC